TGTTACGTACAATGTTGTTTATTCTTCTTTCAAAGAGATTAGCAAATGGTAGATCCTTCTTCTTTCCAGGCTCAGCAAGTATCATTTCATCAATAAGGTACTTTTGTAATGAAACATCTTTCATGAGATATGTTTTTACATTTTTTTTATTCATAATTTTTACATTCTTTGCGTTCATGGAAACATAATCATTAACCAACTTCTTATACTTCTCTTCTATTGTTTCAATAGTGTTGTCCATTTCCTCACTCTTGTTCATTATTTTCAGTATTTTGGATTTGTACCTTGGTGAAGGTACTGGTGCTACTTTTGTTGCCTTTTCAAATTCTGCTCCCATTTGCTTAACACTTTTCTTACCTACCACAGGTTTTGGTCCTCTTGATTGCCGCTTCATCAACAGGTCAATCAATTCAGATTTGCTTATTTTTGCATATTGTGTCTATTCATATTCTTGCTTTGGATAACATTTCCCATTAACACTATATATTGGTGAATTACATTTAAATACTTTTTTTTGTTCTTTAAATCCATATGAAATTTTGAAAGGTCCTTTTAAATTGGTTTTAATAATAAAAACTACATGTATTTGATTCTAAGATCTTTAACAACACATAATTACTCTTCAACAATTTTTATGAATGCATTTTAAATGCATACCCAATGTTTCATCTGTTTTCACCTGTATAGCCATTTTCATACAAATTAATTCCCTTGTATGACATATCTTGCTTCTCTCCACATTGGGCAATAGTGGTAGTATCAGGAAACCGCTTTCTAATGAATGCATCAAGTTTATAATGTACATCAGTCTCTGTCTCTATTTTAAACATCTTATTATCTGGATTATCAAACAATCTATACTGACCATATTTCCTGATTGATGGAAGTACTTTACTTGTAACCCAGTGTTTGAACTTCATAGCTGATTCTAATTTACTTGATAATAATAGAGAGTATAACCCAGATTCATAGATGAATAAACATCTAGTGTGATGTATGCGTTTGGTTTTTCATGAGCCTCAGAAAGACCCGTCGATTTAACGGGTCTACTTTTTTTGTTCTCAGAGCATACATGTCTTTGTTTGATTAGTATCTACATATCCAAGTATTTCAGCCACTTGTTTACCCTTAAACCAGATATTCTGTTTATCATCAATATAAGCTGTTATTTTAACTTCAAAATTATTATTATTATTGCATACCTATTCATTAAAAGTCATTATACTATACACAAGTGACTAACGTTTAATACTTTTCATATTGTTCTTTAAATCCCTAGAGATAATTTTATATGGGCTGAAGCAGGGGGGTCTTTTTTACACCCTCAGCTCTTAGCCTAAAAATGGTTTTTGTTATTATACGGCTCTTCTTTTCATCTGTTATTACCTTGTTCTTGTAAGAGAAAACCACTTAGTTATCCTCTGTAATGTTAACAACAATATGACTACTGGATAATGAAACTATCTTCTGCTTTAGTCTCTTGAAAGCCATTAAACAGCTCTTATTTTCTATGTTAAAAGAAATATATTTGTCTTTCATATACTATTTTGTTAAATTAATCAAATCCTTAATTGGTATCCAACTGTTGAAATCATCATCATATCCTTTCCACTTCAATAGTGCTTGTTTCTTTTCTTCATCTCATCGAATAAACTCTGAAAACTTCATGTTTTACTTTCAATAATTCAGGTTCAAGAAATGATCCTTTTTACTTTACATTTTGTTTTACTAGTTTGCCTTATTTGAGGATGAAACCCTCATTTTCCCACTTTAGTCAATCACAGTGCGATCATAGCAGGTTTATGACCGATAATGTAGCTCTTCCTTTGCATGATAAGAGTAGTTTAACACTTATTGTATTTTATTAATTTTTTTTTAGGAAGACCAGAATTCACCTCACAGTCTAATCCAGTTGCGATTCCACCCAGCGGAAAGAGGGATCCATAGACCATCTGAAATTGCTGGGCTGCCATCTTTCTTGATCCTGCATCGAATACAAAACGGTGTGCGAACAGTATTTTATCTGTTTAATATAAAGTGTTTGTTTACAGTGTGAGTATCGCGGAACACTGAAGGTGAATGGAAACCAAAGGAATAGGGATCCTTCATTCTGTCTTATTCCTGTGATATGTGACACTGAATAGATTTATCTGATTTTTTTTCTTCAGATTTTTGTTCGTGGTAGCAGTCAGCAAGTTTTAAGCTGTAATATGATACTTTATTGAGCTGTTTTGGATGTAAAGCTAGAGCTTGGGGACATCAATGAATCCGTGAGCGTCGACAAGTTTAGGTACGGATTCATCAGCGTGGTGGCAGGGGACAGTCCGAAATACAGAGCAGGGGAAATAAAAAAAGATGGTTTTTACTCTTTTTTTCCCACAATTATTTTGGTTTTTTTTTTATTGAGGTCCCCCTCTATTGCAGGGACGATAATAAATGTTGGCCACGTGAGATTCTGTTGTCTCTTTAGTGGAATTTTTACAAACGATCACCTTCGTCCGTTTTATCGGGGATCACCTCCCAGCTAAAAACATTTATAAGTACTTGCACCAAGCTGTCAAATTTTACAATAGTCGTCTTTCGCTTATGCTCTGCCCTCTGACTCCTGTAACTTCTGCTCGCAAACAGGTGAGGTTGTCCTAGTTCTGAAGCCTTACAAATTCTTTCAAGATAACTCTAGAAAACGAAAGGCTATTATCAAGTCAAACATTTGCCGCCCTTTTCTTGACAACGCATTCTAAGAAATACACGAAATCTTTCGTACTAAACCGAGACCGCGATAAGGTTACCAGAGAAAAGAAAGAGCCTCGTGAGCACTGGATGTCTAAAATTCTTTATTTTGAGTTCATGTTGACATAAAGCTCTGAAACCCTACAACTGTGAGATATCTTATAATAGAAGTCTCGTTCGAAGTCAATCTTTATCTTCAACTTTAATGAAAGAAGGCTAATTGACTCGGTACTTTACTTAACTAACAACGGATATGACGGATACTAGTTGTCAACCTCAGGTTAATTAAGGCCTGGATCACCCTGCCTTTAACCCATATTTTTCACAAAATTGAGAATAACTTAGCTATTTTGCGAGGGATTTTTCTCATACTTGGCAGAAATGTGTATCACTACCATCTCTCTCGGACTGAATTGTGGCAGCGTAATATGATACCCTCAACAGCCAAAAACAGTTAATTTAGGCGCCAAATTCGTCGGTTGCTTTCTTGAGCAAATTCCCACCACTAAACACAAGGCAAATCAAAATATAGTTATCGCTATGAATATTTGAGACGTTTTTCATTGTTTTCCCACTTGGAATGGCTGCCCAAAAAAAAGAGAGATGTGTTAGGCAGATTAAATCAAGTTTTGTCTCTGCGAAGCTGCTTCTTCTATCGTGGTTTTCGCCTGTAAACATCTTAGCCTTTACCTGGTTCCAACCGCTATCAACGAAAGTAATCCCACAGGTTCCTATTTATTTGGAAAAAAGACAAATTAAAACTGTTTAAGGGGTGGGAATTTTGAAAACTCGCAGTCACGTATTCAACTATGTGTCCGCCATTTTGACACGCGAGTGTTCAGAAGCAATAATTTAACGGCTGATACACTACCAAATACTACTTGAAGCGATCTTAGAAGTAATACAGGCAAACTTTGTATACTTTTGATGATATTTATTTCTTTTTCTCGTTTCCTGAGGTCGATTGCATCTCTGTAAATCCAGGGTTAGATCGCCTTTGACAGTTGTAATAAAACACAAGAAACCAGTTTTTCGTCTCTTAACTTGCAAATTTGAGCGGTAAGAATAAAGAACGTTTGTTATTTTATCCCAGGTGGTATCATGTAACGAGACTGAATTACAATTTTGGCGCAAAACTTGAAAGTTATCGCGAGATACGCACACTGATTCCTTGAAACTCTTCAAGGTTTTGTTCCCTAACAACGGTACTACTCGTGTGAAACGAAAATGTCTGTCATTTTTAATTGTGGATTTGCAAGAGTTGCTGTAAAGGAGAGCTTTCGTAAGGTTGGAAGTGCTTCGGTTGAAACTGATCCTAGTGAAAAGTGGAAGAACTATCTTGCAGCGTTCGAGGGTGACAGTCAGGAAGTCTTTGCGGTCGAACGTTCCACCTACGTCAAGAAATCCAAAGCAATTTACAGCTCTTTCCGAAAGATGAACTCAAAAGCCAGGGCCCAGTACCAAGACACGTTTTCAATGGTAAACTGGAAAGCTCTTAATACAGCGCAGAAGAAACAGCACACACTGTCAAATTGTGGAGGTTGTCAAGTGCACTATTATGCCATCCATAATCTTTTCCCCAGTGGGAAGTACTACTTTGTATTAAGTATTAAGGAAGTATTACTTTGCAGTAATTTGCATGCCAGACAATGAGATCAACAATCTTTACCTTTACTTGTGTTGCAATCTAGCATTTATTTAAGCACACTCTCTATAACATATTTGCCTTCATTTTCCAGTTTTTTAAAACGATCACCTTCGTCCGTTTTATCGGGGATCACTTCCCAGCTAAAAACATTTATAAGTACTTGCACAAAGCTGTCAAATTTTACAATAGTCGTCTTTCGCTTATGCTCTGCCCTCTAAGCACACTCTCTATAACATATTTGCCTTCATTTTCCAGTTTTTTAAAAGGAATGTAAGTACCAAATATTCCACTGTAAACTTAATCAATCATACTGAACTTCTTCCAACCAATGGAGAGAATATAATACTGGGAGAAGGATCCTATGGTCGATGCCTTCTGAGACAGTACACACGATTTGATATAAAGGTTGTGGAAAAACAGTCTCTGATGCAGGACACCACAGAGATAATGAAGGAGGCTCACATTATGCAGGCACTTGCACATAAAAATATCCCAAACATAATAGGCGTGCAGCTTCAAAAGCAGCCCATTTCCTTAATAATGGGGTTTAAAGAGGAAAACAATACATCTGTAACAATAAGCAAACTATTGTCTTTTCAGAAAAACAGTGCAACAATACAGAATGTGCAAAGCTCACTCAACAAATGACTGGTTAATTATTTCACATGATTTGACAGAAGCCCTTTCGCATATTCACACAAAAGGCTTTCTTCACTGTGATTTGAAGGCTAATAATGTTCTTGTGAGTAACAAACATGGCTACATCATCGATTTTGGAAAAGCATGTGACAGCTCCTTTCCTCCTGCAAAGAAGTACAGCATCTGTTATCCTCATATTGCTCCTGAGGTTCGTAATGGTTCTCCCTGTAGCAAAGCCAGTGATATTTTTTCCCTTGGTAAAATTCTGTTCAAAGTAGGTGTTAAGCAAAACATTCCACTTTTGGTTTCCATGGCTCAAGAATGTTTGGATGCCAGCCCTGTAAGAAGACCAACAACAACAGGTATTATGGCAACACTGGCTTCCATAATATCTCACTGAATACTATAAGCTTAAGCAGGCGTTTCACGGGCCTGACACTGGGCAAATTGACTGGCTGAGAACATAATTTTTCCTGCATGTTGTGACTGACATAAATCAGAATCAAAACATATTTTGCCTGCTTCCTTGTACATTTCCCATCACCTCAAAATCTTAATGAAACCTCTGCTTAAGAAAGTAATAATTAACACTCTAACCAGGTAAAGTGACCCTAGCCATGTCACAGCAGGAGTCTTTTTCTTGGGCTTTGCAAGGTTAAAATTACAATGTATGTGCATGTCTTAATAGCAAGTTTATGTGTGCCCTTGTTCTAAACTAATTTTGTACTTCTGCTTTACAAGTTGTGAATGAATGTTAGAGGGACATTTTTAATAATGCACTGATAAGGTGCTCTAGGGTCCATCAGTTACAAATTACTTCATAGGTCATACTCGTGTCTATAATTTTACATCGCTGCTAGATAACATACATGTACCAATTTATTTCCCAATTCCTGCCAATTATTGATCTATGAAATTGAATTTGGACAAGCAACTAGCAGATCAAACTTGAAATTATAAACCAGAGTTTTAACTGGTTAGGCCACTATAGCCTTCTAACAAGAATATTGACTTGGAAGAGCAACAAAAAAACCAAGAAATACAATTTTAAATTTTCCTTTCTGACTTTGTAACAAGGGCAACCTATCCTGCTCTTAAGATGGCACATCTTTTATGAATAGGGCTGAGAAGACAACACATCTTATACCAGTTTGTGTTCACTCTTGTCACAAAAAAAACAGTGCCCCACTTGGGGCAACAGTAAGCACTGGTAATTAATCATGTCTTATCAACAAAGAGAGAAGGCTATGGTTAGAACCATATGCATGTATCAGAACTTTTGTGATGCATTTGAATTAAAAGACACTCCACTGGTGTAGTGGGTAGAATATTTACATTCAAATAGACACATATATCAATTACATGTCCACTATTGACAATGATTGTTGCAATTATTACCGGTCAAAACTTAAAAACCAAACTGTTGACTATTATAAAAACTGATATAACATGATTTAAAAACCAAAAAAATGCCTCATAAATAACACCATTAACATTCTTGTAATAAATTAGTTATGTGAAATAACTGGAAGGACCTTTCCAAGAAAACAAATAGGGATAACAGTAAATAAAACTGGTTTTAATCAAGTAGATTCCCTTTGGAATCTGCAAGGGCTGGCTGGTTTTCTGTGTGAGTAATTAAAATTATTATTATTATATATTTAAAGCAATTCAGTCAGTGACCTCGGAATAAACTAACACACATTAGTACAGCTTTTTTCTCTTAGTTTTCAAGGGACAATTTATGACAAGACAATCTGCATCTTACATGTCAGCAAAAAAACTTAAATACCTAACAACTGCTTTGGGGGATTACTTTTGTAAGTAAATTCATCTGCTTCTTGGAGAAATTGTTTCCAAAGCATTCAAAAGCCTAAATTTTGATAAACACTATAAGTTTACACATCATGATATGATAGAGGATTTATCAAGCTAAATTTAATTTCAAAATTGAATGGTATATCCACAATGAAACTTTTTTCTATGCATTTGTTACAAAACATAGTACTTTTTTCTATGCATAAGTTACAAACATTGTAAAACGCTATTGAGCTCTAGAAATGAGCGCTATATTATAAATTCATGTAGCATTGTATTTGCAGTGAAGTCAATGAACATGTTGAGAGCGGTGTTTAGAAGTCTTCGTAGGTTCAAAAGGGTTCTCTTTGGCTTTAAGATAGCGATATCATGCCATTTTTTGAGGAAATGAAGATAGAAAAGAAAATGTTCTTACCTTCTTTTGATGTCTTCCTCTAGATTGTCGGATTCACAAGCGAAGATGGGAAAAACCAATGTAAAGCCGACAGTTCAAAATGGCGGATGCCGTTCACGAACTACGCGATCTTGATTCCAAGTAACTATGGTTACTCGCGCAGTCCACGCGAATTCCGCGAACCTTGCTGGGGGGGGCACTGGAAGCGAAAATCATTTTGGACCCAGGCCTTAATTAACCTGAGACTGCCAAATCACGATTTACTTGAAGAGAACCTAAAACTTCACCAAAACCTTTCTTAATTTTCGTATCGACAGTGAACTGAAAAGTTAAATTGGGATATTTTCTGATTCCTTAGAAGCAAAACACCGCAATTCTATTCAACTTCGTCTCTAACTTTTCTTCGATCAATTGGAATCTCTTTTCTACTCTTTTAAGAAGTCAAAACATTAGTGCTTTCATAATAAACTTCTTTTGATTGGTAACATTACTTAAATTATGTCTCTTTGAATAGCCCAACGTTTTGACCAATGATACACAAGTAATTCATGGATTGAAATGTTCCTAGAGTACGACTACTCGTACGCTACTAGAGTTACCTTGAGATGCAAATCTGATTGCAACAATAAGCTAATGTTGGGGAAACGTTTCCCTTATAAAAAGTCGAAAACAGGAATTACAGGATCGAATATCAAAGAAGAGAAGAAACTGTGGGGAATCTTATTTACCTGACTTTACTTGGCTTACGCACATCATAAACAACTGCATAAAGCGATCATATTTTCCTACAAAATGGAAAATGGCAAGAGTCTCTCCTATTCCTAAGGTGGTCAACCCAACCTCGATGAATGAACTGCGGCCTATCTCGATACTTCCGGTTTTATCCAAAGTATTTGAGAAAGCTGTTGGAATTCAAATAATGTCATTTGTTGAGAGGGCCTCCCTTTTGCAAGAGGGTCTCTCAAGCTTCCGAAAGGTTCACTGCACTCCTGGGCATGAGAGATGATATCCGGAAAGCTATGGATAAAGGGAAAGTTACCGTTATGGTTATGGCAGATTTTAGCAAGGCATTTGACACTATTTGTTTCAGAACTACCTTGCTAAAGCTCCACAAGTTAGGGTTTACCAAGCCCTCTCTGAAGTGGCCTCTAAGCTACTTATGCGATCGCTGTCAATTCGTACAGATCGACGACAAATCTTCGTCTTGCCAGACAATTGCTTTCGGGATTCCCCAAGGATCTATACTGGGACCTATGGTTTTTAATCTGTACGTTTCGGACTTAAAAGACATCATCCCTGCATCTATAAAATGCTCACAGTACGCTTACGATACGAACCTATGCCATCATACCCCAGTGCAAGACTTGGCTGGTGGTGTGTCGTTGATGAATAATGCACTCTCCGAGCTCCACAGCTGGTTTAAGGAATCTAATCTAGCTCTTAACCCAGACAAGACAAAGTCTATGATGTTCTCAACAAGGCAAGTGTTCACTCGCCGTAATCTGTCGTCATTTCCACTACTGTTGTCTGCTGGAGGAAAGGATCTTGAAAGAATCAAGAACACCAAATTAAACTACTTAGCGTCCACCTTAATGAGAATCTTCTTTGGGATGAACACGTCAAGAACTCAACACCATCATGCTATACTACTCTCGCAAGCCTCAGGAAAATCAAACATTTTACTCTTATTCTCTCCAGACTAGACTATTGTGATATAGTCATGTTCCCACTTCCCCAGCATCTCTTGAAGAGACTTCAACGCATTCAATTTACTGCCGCTAGCTTTGCAACAGGTCGATACGTAAATAGTTTTGAATCCTTACTTAAGTTAGGTTGGCTACCGGTACGAGAGCGTCGAGACTGGCATCTTCTGAAGACGGCCCATAAAGCTCTATATAGCCACAATTGGCCTCAAACTTTAAGACTCGAAAAGGTGAAACACACACGACTTCTTAGATCAAATAGTACAGTCAACCTGGTGGTTCCGCGTGTTAGTAATACTTTTCAGGAAACTGCTGCCCTGATCTTCACAACGCTTCAGGGACAAAATCGTGTGTGGACAGCAAATCATTTTTAAAACAGGCCTTTACTTTTTTGAAATCTCGTCTATCGTAATTTTCTCGGTCTTAATTCCAAATGCTTTGTATTATAATTATTAATTGTATATTATCATCATGAATTTGTTAGTTTTTAGCATAGATTAACTTAGTTAGTTTACTCTGGTGAAGAGCCATTCTATGGATAGACCGTAATAAAGCCTTTATTATTATTATTATTATTATTATTATTATCATCATCATCATCATTATTATTATTATTATTATCATTTCTTTAAAGCTGTCCTATACTGTTTTTTTAAATGATGCACAGAGCCTTTTTTCAAGGCTTAGCTATTATAAAGAATAGGAGAATTACTATAATGATTGTACAAATCTACTAGATTGATAAGACTTACGTTTGCTTTTATGATACATCTCGCCTAGCTGACTATTTAGTTTTCAACATTTATCCTCATTTTAACTTATTATCTGTTTTAGGTTCCCGGTTTGGATGTTGGGACGTTTTCTACCCAACACGACTAAAATTCTATATTCCACAATATTTTTCTTGATAACATGTACGTTTGAAGTTTCAGATTTCGTCTCTTACTGACGACAGGGTAGCCAGCAAACACAACCAAGAGGCTCAACAATGCCAACAAGGCTAAGAGGAATTCTTGGTTATTGCTTTCTACAGGCTGAAAAAAATTAAAATATATTTTTTTCTCTTATGCGTTAGTTTTGCGTGTAAGTTAGTTCCTTTTCATCAAAAAATCTACTGATGTCGAATTTTCCTACCATTAGAGCATCATCTTGCTTTATCGGAAAACTGGTGGTCATTATCATTTATAAAACCACAATTAAAGTGATAAAAAAAACTAGTATGTTCCCAAAATTCGAAATAATGAAGTATTACATTGTTTTCCACGTGAAAACTATGTTTTGGACACTACAGTTAAATGTTTGACTTAAGCTGTCTGTGAAATATACAGAGATCCGGCTTAAATAGTCGAAACGATCATCTCTTCACTGGATGCCATCAAGCCATTATAACGAGGCCTCTCTTTAAGGATTGTACTCACCTGTCCGCCTTCCGATGCCGATGTATCACCTCTGATGTCGCGTGCCAACCTCTGTTTCCACTGGAAG